CAGTGTTTCATCTATATAATGCTCCTTTTAAAAAAACATGTACATGTGTGTGTATGTGTGCGTGGGTGCGTGCGCACTGGGATCCTGGACGGGCGATGGTAATAAACAGTAAATCAGAAATGCCATTCCTTGTTGTACAGTAATTCAGAAGACAATACAATAAATTAGAAAAAAACAAATAGAGGGCATTTTGAGAAGCAGAGCAATAGTTAGCTAATATATTTTTTTTGATAAACATGCTTAAAATATGAATCGGAAAATGACGGCGATGTACTCTACGGGCAGAAGATGAACATTTCATTGACTTCTGCCCTTCCATACTCTCTCGTGCATATGAGTGTAAGAAATCGTTACGAAAGATTATAGGGATTCTCCAAAAGGGTTTTGGCCGGCTTTACGAGTAGGTTATAAACACCATTTGGGGCCTTCCTTTCCTTCTCACTCAATCACTCACACTATCCCTCTCTCTCTCTCTCACGCTCTCTCTCTCTCTCTTTCTCTCTCTCTCACACACACTCACTCACTCACTCACACTCTCACTCCCCCCCTCCCCCCGCTCTCTCTCTCCCTCTCACTCACTCGTTCTCTCCCTCTTTCTCTCTCTCACTCACTCAGTCACTCTCACTCCCTCTTTCTCTCTCCCTCTCATTCTCACTCCCCCTCCCTCCCCCCCTCTCTCTCTCTTTCTCTCTCTCTCTTTCTCTCTCTCTCTTTCTCTGCCACTCACTCGTTCTCTCACTCTTTCTCTCACTCACTCACTCACTCTCACCCACTCTCATTCTCACTCTATCTCTCTCTCATTGTCCCTTTCTCTCTTTCCCTCTTTCCCTCTCTCATTCTGCGTGAGAGAAGAGGCGTCCATTCCCTTGGATCCCTTACTAGTACTTAGGCCACTTAAAGTCTTTCCCGAAAGATTACGACGCGCTACTTCCTGGTTCGCCAGACTACCTTGGGTTAAATATCGATTAATCGCTCACTGCCATATCATAAATGCCCAATAGCCCAATGTTTAATCTTGGTGACAACAAGTGAATATCAGAGTTTGCCCATGGTACTCTGTAAAATAATCCTTTGTCGTTCTTGATAATGAATTGGGTTTGAAAAAATACAGTAGCTATTGTAAAGCTACTATTATGATCACTTTCTATCTGATTCTTTCACCCTCATGGAATTATTTCACCGTAAAAAGGTGAGAAACATTTCCTGTCAAAATCGTTCGAAAAGGAACAGATTTTTGAAGACATGATTGTTTTTCTTTTGTAATAGAATAAGACAACTAATTAGTTTTGCGATTCTTTAATTTGTTGTCTACATGGAACACACTACAATATGTGACGTAATGAGCAATTTGGATATTCATTGCAATATAAGTTTAGAAAATAAAATTGCATTATAAGCGTAATTGGAAATGAATTATGATATTCTAATATAATTCCAATATGATATAAAATGTGATATATATATACATATATATATATATATATATATATATATATATATATATATATATAGATAGATAGATAGATAGATAGATAGATAGATAGATAGATAGATAGATAGATATAAATATATATATATATATATATATATATATATATATATATATATATATATATATACACACATATATATATATATATACACATATATGTATATATACATATACATATATGTGCGTGTGTATACACATATATCTATGAATACATATTTATATATATACACATATGCATATATATATATGTATATATATATATATATATATATATATATATATATATATATATATATATATATATATATATATATATATATACATATGTGTGTGTGTGTGTGTGTGTGTGTGTGTATGTAATTGTATACATATATATACACACACACACGTGAGCCTGGGCGACCTTAGTGGCTGTAGCATGATTTACACCATCGACGGTGTGGTTGTGATGAGGCTTCAAAATAAAAGGATTGTATATCTTCCAAGTCATCAGTGCCAAGAGGCCTGGATTTTATTACAGAATCGGCGAATCGCCAGCTGACAGAAGGGTGCAAGAGCACAGCAGAAATACGTGCTGCGGACGAACGCTGCAACCTGCATGGAACAGCCTTTCAGCATCCGCCTGCAATCGGCGTCATGCATTCCCAGCCAAGGTCAACCTCCAACGAGTAGATCGCAAACGAGTGAATGGTAGTTATTAGAAGGACCGCACGCTTCTGTCTGCCGAATGGAACTCTATAGTCAAGGAATCCACGTAAGTGAACGAACCATGAGAATAGAATGAAGATAAAAAGATACGAGAGAACAGTTATAGATTTCGACATTAAAGCTAGGCAGATTTAGTGAAAAAATAAAGAAAAAAGAATATACAGGAGCAGTGGAAAACAAACGGGAGTTGTTGTTTTTTATCTTTTACATAGTGCGTGGAATTATTTTAATACTAATAGGCGATAGGATTTGAAATCTACCCTTCTCCCCTGAATTATATGTTGAAAAAAATTACCTTAATTCTATTAAGATTTCTATTTGAGGGGTTTGCATGTTTGCGTGTTTGTATGAATGAAATATCGTTTCTTATTTTTCTTATAAGAAATCATGTATCCCACATCATTTTCTTCTAATAATTAACATATTTTCATATGCAATTAGAACAATTTCCATACGAATGTTTTACAAGATGAACATATGAATATACAAATCAACTGAAATGAAAGTAAAAAGCAGAGCAGATTGCCGCGTCCGTTAGAGGGAATATACACACTTATCAAGACTAAACAAAAATATAGGAGTGAAATAAACTAGTGTGGAGGATATATTGTCTCTCACTACCAGGAAAAGGGGTGGGGGAGTGTGGAAAGCTTAAGGGTGAAAAAAAAAACACGGTACAATGGTTTCCGCGGCCGTCAGCTCTCCATACGTGTGCCAGTCGGTTGTTGAGGATTTTTTTTTTTTTTTTTTGTCTGATTATGTTAATTGAGGCAAAACCTTCAAAACATGATATAATTTGTATTTGTTAAAATCTTTTCAAACATTGAAATAAAGGTGTTCAAACTTGAAGTGATGTTTTAAATTACGTCAAAACTCCAATTATCCGAGCTACGATTAAGCGAATTGTTCGATCATCCGAACTGCTGTCTCGCCGGCTGGTTTTAGACATGTGTTAAAACTATTAAATGTATCCATTGTTACACCTCAGCGTCTACTGGCAATCAGAGGGTGTTAAGTGAAATCACGTACGGCGAGACCGATTTGTAAGTGTGAGTGTTAGCGGATCCGTAAGTGTGAATGGAAACTTCAGCCGGACGATCAGTGTACGACTTAATACAATGAGCAACACGGTTAACAGCGAGAATGACACCCACAAAAGCAGGCATCAGGGCCCACGTACAAATCCTAGCCCTGTCGGCAAGAAGCGCAACCTGACACCGAACCCACACGACGACTGTTGGTACGATCGTTGCACAAGCAGCAGGACAGACACGCAACGAGAACAAGGCACAGCGGTCATTGAAGTCTTTCTTCCAGGAGATTGAGTTATATTTCCTATCGTGTGAACAGTTTCAGTCTTAGCCGCAAAATGTTATCGAGTCCCTCCGTGAGTGAACACTTCCAAGAGAACAGGTCTGTTGTTTCAATTACCGGTATTTTCGCTTTGTTTCCCCCCCGTTTTTCGAGGAGAGAATTTGTACATGAACTGTAATAAAATTAGATTTTCACTGAAACAGAGTTTCTTCTGTTTTTGTCTTGATTTATTCCCAAGTGTAAAGTTTGCTTAATGTGTGCATGTTTAAGTTTAACTGTTCCCCTGTCATTACATCTATACAGCTATTGATATAAAACTACCCCAAAGAACGACGACATAAGTCGCACTCTGTTATGACGGACGCAGTACGAGTATACGGTAAACTGCTTCAGTGTCATGGCCACACTTTGCGCTGACAAACGCCATACACCTTTTCTCGCTACAGATATATTAATGTATATATATAAATATAATATATATATATATACATAAATATACATATATTTATATATGTATATATACACACACAGATAGATATATGAATATACATGTACATATATATATATATACATATATATATATATATATATATATATATATATATATATATATATACATATATATATGATATATATATATATATGTATATATATATATATATATATATATATATACATATATGATATATATATATACATATATATATATATATATATATATATATATATATATATATATATATATATGTATACATATATATAAATATTTGTATACATATGCATAAATATACATATATATACATACATATACATACATATATATATGAAAATATAAATATAGGAATATATATGAACATATATATATATATATATATATATATATATATATATATATATATATATATATGTATATATACACGGGTATTCATATACATGTATATAAATGTATATGTATGTATGTGTGTATATATGTATATATACATATACATATATACGTGCACATACACACACACACACACACACATATATATACATATATACTTACATATATACATATATATAGATATATGAATATATATGTACATATATACATAATAATATACATATATACACGTGTATACATAAACATGTATTTATATTCATATGTATATATGTGTGTATATGTATACACATAAACATATATATACACACATACATATATATGAACACATACATATATATAAATATAGACATATACAAATATATCTGTATACATATATTTACATATATACACACGTATAAATTCATATGTATATACATATGTATATATATATATACACATGTATATATATACACACATGTATATATATATATATATGTATATATATATATATATATATATATATATATATATATATATATATATATATATATATATAATAAATACATAAATATATATATTCATATATTTATTTATATATACATATATATATATATTATATATATA